CCTCAGCCACCACCAGTGTAGAAAGCAACATGGATGATTAATTACTAGTGTTGCTGACGCTGTTATCTTTGCTAAAAGCTATTGTACAGTAAGATTCTGCCTTTTAAATGTATAGAGGATGAGCTATCCGAGCAATAAATTTCTGCAATCAACAACCGAATGCTCCCTGTGTACACCATCAGTAGCATGTTGCAGTGTACATGAGCAGTCCCTCTTTTCAGGCGTGTTTGTATGGACTGAGATGGTTTTAGTTTGAACCATGTAGTCTGAAGATGCTCAAGAGGTGGCGAGAGAAGTGCTGCTGCAGTATCTGTACTACACATAAACACCGAAACCTATATAAACAGAATTAACTCTGTTTCAAAGATCTCAATCCAAACGGCTTTCTCCGATGAACTCTCCATATCAGAGTTTATTGTTAGAATATCTGAGGTTTAAGGTACATTTCAGAGTGTAAATATTCAGGGACATAGTGATCTGATTTCCCTGTGTAGATCTGCGATTCATGATAATGTCATCTATTAATACCAACCAGCTAAATTACATTCAGCCTAAGTCTGATAATATGAGATGAATGTTAATGGGTGTTGAAACGAGGCCTGTGTGCATTTTCTTGTGCTAAAACCAACAGATCCTGGGTCTGATGGTGGTCCGAAAGATGCTCGACATGGTCTTCTCCCAGCACGACCTGGCTTGGCTTGATGACCTCCTGCCTGAGAAAGAGAAGAAGAAGAAGAATGAGGATAAGAAGAAGGGGAAGGATAAGGAAAAGGAGAAAAAGAAGTCCAAACAAGACGACAGTGAAGAGGAGGTGAGAAACTCAAGCTTCTGCTGCCCCCTGTAGGAATAAAGGATTGAGGCAGGAGTTTCTGATCAGTGTGTTGTTTCTGTTGCTTCCACACAGGATAAATACCATGCCTACCCCAACCACTCACCCAGCTCTGAGTCTGACTTGGATCGCAGGTACTGTGTCCTCAAACTGCACATCCCCTACAAAGATCTGGTCCATCCTGATGTTGAACAGTCTCAGTGGGGAGCGTACTGCCAGCCTGCTGCTACACACAGTGCTTTTTAACACACATGCACACACACACACACACACACACACACACACACACCCTGTATAATACACATAATAATATAAGATATAGATAGACATATATTATGATCCTGCTTCCATTTAGCCATACACAGTAAATGTGCACATATTTTTTTTAAAAGTCACATATTTTTTTCCTTTACATCTTGCATCACCTAGCTGTGAGAATAGTTTTAGCTGAATCCCACTGCAGCAACTCATGTGCAATAGAAAAGTATGCAAATGCAAGATCTGAGCTCTGACTTTATAACACCCCTCATGGAAAACACCAGGAGTGGAGAGCAACGATTATAACTGGAGGAACATAGACTCAGTTCCTTCAGGTGAATACTAGGCAAGTGTAGGCAGCAGGTAGAAATGTGAGCATGATAATGATAACTCAAGTACACCGCCTTGATTACAAGGATGCTTTAAATATATATGCTCCAGTGTGAAGAATGTTCCAGTGTAGCAGAGCCTGGAGTTGACTTCCTTAAATAACTTGCACACTTCATTTTATTTACTCAGGTGTTCATATGTCTGCCTCTGAGATTTCTGCTTCCTCCCTAATACAGTGCAGGTGATAGAATTTAGTTCGGGGTGCTCTCAGTGATGAAAAAAGAAAAGAAAAAAAGAAATTGCTGCAGCTCTTTCCTGACACAGCAATCCTCGGCAGTTTCTCTGCATTAATCACGGAACACACCAGATGTTTTCACTGGGACTATTTCTTCAATAGACTGTATTTCCAGTGAGGTCTGTGGAACCAATACATTGATTCTTGAAAAACACTGTCAGCACCTCAATCTAAAATATATGTATGCTTACATTGTATCATTGGCAGAAGACATCTATAAGACAGATCTCTCAGAACATATAGGCAAATAAAAGAAAAGCGTACTGCTTGGTTTGATACAGGCAGGCTACATGTATATTGTTGGGTGAACTACACCTTTACAAATTAAAAATAAACCCCCCCTCCCCATTTTGAGTGTTGAATTGCATTGTGTTATGCTGTTTCTAATATTCCTCCCAGAAACACACATTATTTGCTCCACTATGCTGTGAACTATATTGATTTTATCTAAATTATATTTGTTTTATTACATGATTCAGCCCAAATTTCCCCCATTATCTCGTTTTTATTCCATCCATCATTCATTATCGGATAATGAATCTAAATGATAGCTGTGATTTTATAGGTGGACACAAATAGAGGCAGAATATTTACACTTTAATATTGTTTACATGTAAGATTGCCTCCACGGTCCATTTCCCTCCTTTCCATGCACTTTAAGGCAATGCAGATCACTGTAATGATCAACTGTGTAATCCTGCCACTACTCTTCCTGTGTGCTAAATGTCCATATACGTGCACTGCCCTTTGACACTACTCAGCAAACTGTAATTCTTCATCGATGTGTGTTGGCTGTGGGAAGGCAGCGACTGTGAGGTGAAGGGTGGTGAATTGAGATGCATGCTGCACAGCTGTGTAGATTAACATATGTGAAACAGATGAACAGAAATAATATGTGTTATATTACACCTGCTGTATATTCAGAGCTTATTTGTTGATAAGTTTATTTTAGGCTGGCGGCTCGTATTCAACAGTGTGATCATCCACATGCAACAAGCATCATTGTTTTGGTTGTTTCTTTTTCCTTCATGTGCTGAATCTCTTTAGTAAATCAACCTCACCCGCATGTGAAATGACCCTGGCTTCCTGGCTACCCACCCTCACCTGTACCCGCAGCAGTTTCAATGGAAGTATTTGGCATTGAAAGTGCAGCCTTTCATCATTTTGGGAAACATTTATCCATAATTGGCTTAAACTTTTTATCCTTTGCGGGAGATTTGGGGTTTTTAAAATTGCCCATGATGTCTGCATTGCTTTGAAAGAGGCATGGTTTGGAATCGACAATTTAACTGACTAATATGAACTTGTTTTGCAAGATGTGGTCGTCTGTGGATAGAAAATCATAGAAATATCTGCAGTTTGAATAGGATGCATAACTACCTAGAAAATATTTCTGTCACCAAACCTTCCAAACTCCTATATGTAAATGTTTAATACAGTTTCAACATTAGTTCAGTAGTCATTTGCTAAACTAATAATGTGATAATACAAGTACTGACACAACGCTGTAAAAGGTATTTTGCTGACTGATTTACCACAAATTAGAGATTAAAATTCAAAGTATTATTGGCCAAAGACTAAAACTATTTAGTTGTACTAGGAAATATAAATATTTATTTGATAAAATTAAATATGATATATGGTTTGTTGGCAGCATTGTCCTATTATTGATATTCAGATATGGCATCATAGTGTATTCCTTTTTATTTTTGAAAAAATATAATACAAGTTTTAATAATTTGTAAGGTAGAAATTGACTACTTCTAAAGTACTTGTAGAAAAGGTTAGAAACAACTTGCTGGTAAAGGATCACGACAAACTGTTTCCCATGTTCATGGTACAACAGCATGAGTCTTATCCTCAGTGTCACCAGTCCCAGTCTTCACCATAAGGCACTAAGGCCAGAGTAAACCTCTACAGCAGCTCAGTCTGCTCATTATTCATCTTCTCCTGCGCATCACTGACATGCTGTAGTTTTCTGAGTCATGATGCTTCATGGCTGAGTTCCTCCCTCCTCCCCCCGTAGCCCCTCTGTGTATTTGGCCGTGGGTGTGTATGGTAACTGGAGCTTGCCCTTCCTCAGCATCACTCTCCACCTGAAGATCTCCTGCCCATCGTCTCCGGCCATGCCCATGGGAAGAGGGATGGCCTGTCCCGTGCCCCAGGTGAAGATTGAGATGGAGTCAGACTACGACTCGGACAGCGACCACCATCGACCCCGGGACATGAGCAGTGAGACCACATTATAGAGCTGAGACAAGACGTCTCGTTGACAGACCAGTGAACATTATTACAAGGGCAGACGACTGAATGCAGCCGGTGCTGACCCTCAGACAGCATCAGGTGGTGCAGACTGACAGCCGCGTGCATACTGACTCCTGGACGGACTGAAATGATGGGACTGATGCAGTCAATGCAGTTGGACAAGTTAAAGTATTGAAACTGGTGCATTTGTGACAGACTTTGACTATACAGAAAACTGAATTTATTTATTTACTTGTCTGATGTAAATGGTATCTGTATAGGATCATTTACTATCTTTGATGTGAAAATGTGTATCTTTAATATTACTAGCTATATATTAACACTGTACTATTATTGTAATTATTTAAATCCAAGCTAGTCTTTATATTAGTAACATTACAAAACCTATTGTACAGTAATTGTGTATGTACAGAGTGTGGGTTAGAGGCAGTGAATATGAAAACAACTATTTAAATAACAGAAGTATTTAACGTGAAGTTACAAACTACTGAAAGCCGTCCCTGTTGCTGTATGTTAGCCTTGTTTCTGTGTGTGTTTGAATTTGCTGTATATCTGCCTCCGATCCCACAGAACCACTTCTCCTCGTCCCTGTTTCCCTCCACTTCACACTCCACATTGGCACATTAACCTGGAACAAAAAGAAACAACCAAAAAGTCCTGATGTTCTCATGTTGCCGTACAGGATCATTATACTATGTGAGATGTAGCATACGTGTTCATGTTTGTGGTTTCACTCTCCAAGACTCTGTATGACAACAGCATTATCTTCCAGCACAACACTCAACATAAGAAATGCACAAAGAATGGATATTCATGGAATAGATATGATTCATGCAATTAAAATTCTATTATTCCAAATTCTGTGTGTTGTCTTAAGTTCAATGTGGTGATTTGTATCCTTTTAGAAGCATGTGAGAGCAGGAGAAATATGAGACTTGTAAATGTTAAATTGGTCACACAGGATTATAGCCAGCCATTCAAAAATAAGATGCATTATACAGAGAAACAGTTTGACTCCTGGATTTATGAACAAAGACAGAGACCAACACTAACAGATAAAACAGGAAGTTTATGATACTGATTTCCTCAATTGGTATTGACAGTGAAAGAGCACTTTTTCTGATTTATCACTGCAGTCCTTTAATATCAAGATAAAACAGTATCCAAATAGATGAAGTGGAACAGAGACATCATCTGTTTGTATTCTGTATATGTTTCATCCTTGCAAAAAATGTTTGGCTTCTACATTGCCCACAATGCAACTTGAGAATCGGTACGTTGTGCCAGCAGCATGTAGCCTTGGGCTGCTAGCTCCGACCAGAGATGAGTGAAAGGCCACAGAGGTCTGCTAGGTTCAATTGTTCTGGACACCATCTCCAGATCTTAAGTCTTCAGCCGACTCTAATGACATCACTTGAGGCAGTTTCTCAAACTGCACACAGCTCTCTCAGGACAGACACTTTGGTGTGTCAAATCAACTGACTCCCCTTTAAGTAGACTGTGTTGACCAGATTCAATCTATCCACCATTTAATCATAGGCTAGAATTCAAGATGCTCTGCAAAGTTTTCCAATATACAAAACACTTATGTACATGTTCAGTGTTTCCACAAAATCTCCTCATAATACATTTGCAAAGCAGAAATTTAAACCCTGCATCGTTTACATCCATTGCTAGTGTGAACTCTTCTTCTTCTCTGCCTTTGTTGGCACACGACTGCTACGCTGCTTTTTGTTACCACCACCAACCGTTGGACACAGGAAAAGCCTGAAGCCATGGGCATTGATGTGAATTGCATTATATAAAAAATAACCCAAATTTGTTTTACAAAAAGTGGTCAAACTTTTGTGGATTTGGGAAAAGAGAGTAGTACCACAACAGTACTTAGTATTAGTAAAGACCTCGGAGTTAAAAAATAAGGAAGGGAAAAATCTGATCGTTGAACTCTTCATTTTAAATTACACATTATCTTAATAATCTTTGGCACATAAAATCATACCGTACATTAAAATACAAGGGTGCGAGAAAATGGGACATTAGATTGAAAGCCGTTAGCCCAGAATTATATTACTATATACACTCTTTTTTTTTATTGTAAAACAAATAATAAATATGAATCATTCCAATTGGAATATGGTCAACATGTGTCATTAGCAGTAATGGCTTTCTACAGTCACCCAGTGTAGTCTTTGTTAACAACAATCGAACACAGCATATTAGTCAATGTGATGTGAGTGTGTCACCAGACGGACAAACTGAGACTGGCTGGATATGTTATGTCAGCACACAGGAAACGTTGAGCAGGGGGTCTGAGTGTTTGGTGAACCCGTCAGCAAAGCCCTCTCCTTCCACCAGGGTGGGCTTCCTGTTGCACATGGGGCACAGTTTGTTGCGTTCCTGCGACGCTCTCATCCAGAGGATGAGGTTCCAGCGCTGGCCGGAGGAGATGGGCAGGGCGCCGTGCATTTGTTGGCCACGGTGGAGGAGGCCCTCGGTCACCCTGTGCTCTACCTCTGAACACTCCGTCTCACTCAAAGGAACCTGCAGCAAATCCATGGCCATGAGAGTATTTGTACACCATGGAAAGCTTTTGGACTTTGATAAGCAGGATTTATCATGTCCGATATTTTTTATGTCCATAATTTTTCACCTCAAAACAGCATCACTTGGAACAGCATTTTTTTTTTCAATAATAAAATCATATATAAATCAGACTAGATTGACAGTGGCTTGATTTGATATTTTACTTAGCGTCAGCTAAATGGAATTTTATGTAATGTAATATCATAAATATAAATTTTGCCAGAATCAGATTATCAGATCACTTATTTTGATTGGTCCTCCTTATGTAGTAACTTCTCGTCATTTAGAAACTGCATTTCGTTGCTTTGTACTTGTGACATGTGCAATGAAAATAAAGTTGAATCTAATCTAATCTATTTTCAGTAACGTTAAGAATTCCAATCCACTATTTATAGTGTAATAAAGAAAAATAGATATAGTCACCTGTCTCATGTCGCCAAAATAAAGGTTTCCCTCAGTGAAGTCCTTCCCCAGAGAAACGTTGAGGGTGACCTCTGCGTTGTCATAGTGGTAGCTCAGGTCCAGGTCCTCATTCATGTCATATTTGACCACAAAGGCTTTGTGGCTGTCCAGACAGCGCCCCCCACAGTCTGGGTACAGCAGGGAGGTGAGTGAATGTAGGTACCGCTCACGGAGAGGCGTGAAGAAGTTCTCGTCAAAGCCCAGTTCATTCAGGAGGATCTGGGGAGAGAAAATGAGAAGAATATAATGTCTAGATGAGGACTGGGTGATATGATGATATACATTTTATTACAATAAAAAAAATCTTAACCAGGACCTCAATAAAAGTTGCTCTATATTATGGTATATCATTTATTTGGTTGTACTGCAAATTACCCTCTTATGCCAATATTTTCCCTCATTTACACAGTGCTCTGTGCACATGACAGCAAGCAGCACGAACAAACATGGAGGACTGACCGGAAAACTGTACTTATGCCACAAACTGGTCCCCACAAAAAGTTCAAACACCACACAGTGTGCAGATGAGAGACACACAACTATAGTCCCTCGTGTTAAAAACATACTCTTCGCCCAGACGCTGCTGGAGGCTTTTGCCCACAGCACAACATATGGCAAAGAATCATCAAAATGGAAGCACATAACATTTCTGTGGTAACTGATGTCTGAGTAAGAGGCAACAATAGAGCTGCTTTCAGACAGGCACTGAGCTCTGTGTGAGGGGCTGCATGAGAGAACACAAATGTCTGAGTGAGAGGTTCCAGACTTTCTCCAGGCAGCCCCCCCCCAGTAAGAACTTCCCGAGAGCTCACACCATGAGATCCACTGCAAGATTCACTGTTAGCGTGTGGGTGTTGATGACGTATCTAACACGCGACAGACGCTAAAAGTGAAAAATAAATAAATAAACCAAATAAAGATGAAACATTAAAGACTAAAAGAGCAGTGACAAGCTGGAGTTTAAATTCATTTGTTACCCCATATTGGTTCATGGTGTTGGGTCGTCCTTTAGGTGCTGAGGACTGCTCAAAGTGCTCCAGCTCCTCCACCAGCTCCTCACAGAAGCTTTTCTCAAACACAGGGAAACGATACACCCTCGGAGCTAAAACAGAAAAACTGGAATAAATCATTGATGCTCAGAGTAACATTTTCATACACGAATATATCGTTGTTCAATTCAAGATTCAAGAGATTCAAGATGTTTCATTGTCCTGTACAAAGCAGATAAACACAGTTTACAGCATGTAATGAAATTCTTAATTTGTTTTTCAATATCCCAGCATACAAATATTATAAAATAAAATAGTATTAAAAGAAATAGAAGAAATATATAGAAATAGAAAATAGTGCAAGTAATTCATTATCTAGTAATCTGTGACAAGTAGCCTCAAATGTTTCTCATTTTTCACACCTAAACTTGGTTGATTCATGTCCTGTCTGGACAACGCTGGGGAAAACGAACTGTATTGTTGATTTCTGAATTTCTGAACCCTCTGAAGAAAAATAACTTATTAAACTTCGAATTCAGTCCACTGTTTTTTATTATTTCATGAAGTCATCTTCTTTGTGAATTGTACCAGTTGCGATGGGATCACTCAGGATGGAGGTTAAGACCAGGTCTGATTGGGGTCAGAGAGGAAATGAAAAGCACTCTCTGGCTCACCTGCCTCTGCATCCAACACGTCTAAGAGACCTTGTTCACTGGCGGTGCTGCTTCGACAGTACTCGACAATCTGCTTGAACTTTTGAGTGAGGTAAGACTCCTGTGGAGAGGCGGAGCGCAGATGTGTCTCAGCGAGGCGTTAATGACCCAATACAAATGCACCTATGAGCAGGGAGGGGTGCAGTAAATACCCGCAGCTGGTAGACATGAGGATGGAGCGGCTGGTAAGTGTCTTTTATAACAGCAGCTCTCTCAGCAGACACCACACTGAGACGCCTTCGCCTGTCGACTTCCTGTGAAATCTGAGCAGAGCAGACACACACTTCAGTTACAGTCCAATACAGACGCATCGTTTTAATTGGAGAAGATACAGAATAAAATATAATTATAACTTAATTTCCTTGTTATATCAGGATGTCTCTTTTTGTGGAGGTCAGACAGGAAGAGGAAACCAACTCAACATTCAGCGGACCACAACAGTTTGATCACAGTGAGATTAAAAAAATGATATTGTAAACTTCAATTGTTATCTCTAGTAAGAGTAATATTAATAATGGCATTCACTACTGATCAACTTAACAACAAACAAGAAATTGGACATATTTAACAATGTTTTGTCCAATAGTGATTCATACAAACATAAACATCCCAAAAACAAATATTACTAGTATGGATTTTATTTTGTGTGCGTGTACCCAGGCTTCAGCTCCTACAGTCAGTGGAACATATCATAGTTTAAAAATCAACTCCACAGTGCTCTCAGGAGGGCGGGATATGTCATGACAACACTGTTTCCAAATGACCTGAGACTGATGTATCTGTGTGGTTGATTTATCTGTCAAGATCTCCAGCTAATGTCTTGTTATGTCCAACCAACACATTAAAATCACAGGTAATCAATTAATCAAATTTCATTTGTATGGCCCATATTCACAAATCACAATTTGACATCCTAACAATTTTTATTTATTTATCAACAAATCAATGACATGCTCTGTGGAAGCTAATATGATCTCAGTCACTCAGCTCCATATGGTCGGAAATGTACAAGTGGATGATTGACTTTGAACTAACTAACTGTAGTCAGATTAACACGAACCATAACTTTAACACCAGAAATTATGTTTTGCATCAGAATCAACACACACACACACACACACAGACACACACACACACACAGAGACACACACACACACACACACACACACACTCTTTGTTTGTTTGTTTGTTTATGACAGAAGCTATTGCTCGGTATCAGTGTTGTTATGCCTAAAGTATAACTAACACACACACACACACACACACACAGACACACACACACACACACACACACACACACACACACACAGCTCCTACCTCTTTGAGCACATCCTCAAACTGTTGGTCTGTGACGCAGCCGAGTCTCCTGAGCAGCTGTGGACAACATTTCACATGAAATCAAAGACGTGAAGCTCCTGTGGCTCCACGTGTTCCCTGTGAATAGTAAACGTGACGAACACCCACTCACAGCCTGGTAGTCCTGAGAGAACTGCTGCTCTGACACGAAGCGAACATGGAGTCTGAAGTCCTGCAGGAAAATGTGATCGGAGCTGAAGCAGCTGCACATGTAAAAGTCCGCCTCGTCCTTCATGTCTGCAGCTGATCGCGCTCAAACACAACAGGAACACATGACGGCGGTATGACGACTTCTTCTTCCGTCAACAACAAACACAACACTGCCTGTTCAAGCCCTCCAAAATAAGAGCGTCGTCTCCACAAAGCCACCATTGATTACATCCGACTATCCCTCCAAACTTAAGACCTAAAATCGAATTGACATCCACAGAACTAATGCAGCAAACTACACACTACACTCAATGAGGTCATTGTGCTCGTTCACACTTTATTTATGTATTCTATTTCTCATGTATTTCTTTTTAGTTACGATAAAACTATTATAGTTTGCTCCCAGGCTCATATCAGAATAATATAACGTAGTGTAATAATGGGCCTAATTCACAAAACATTTATGTAAAAGAAATTTCTTTTTAAAACTTACTTACGCAGTTTTTTTTTTACAAATTTAATTTGGATTTGTTCTTATGCAAGAACAGAATCTGTACACACTCATGAGCAGTGTTATGCACACTTGACTACTTACATGTTTGTATTTTTTAGAAATGATGTCAAGTGTCTCAGAGATGTTACATACATGGACATGTTGAAGAGGAGTAATCTTATTCGGAAAACTGTTGCCCATCTCTTGGTTTTACACACGTATGTTTACATGGTTTTACAGCTCTTAGTTGTAAACTGAATGGAAGGTAATATTAAGTATTTAATGCCCTGCAGTTTCAGTTTGGTCATTTGACAACATTTTATTTTGAAGATGCTCGAGGAAACTGCCAACATCCTTTGTGTAACAGATAGTTGTTCACTGCCCCCTAGTGGTCACGGCCTCTACCTACAACAGTCCAGGTCTAATAAGAAGGGCTGTCAGGAGGAACTACACTTTACCACCGAGGGGCGCTAGAGCAAAACGAACACACCGGTTTAAGGCAAAGGCAGAAGAAGAAGAGAGGCGACAGACACGCTGCAGCGGCTCCATCCTGATGTGACTTTGTTGTGGATTATCTGAGTTCGTTAGCCGCAGCTAGCGCAGCAGCCCAATATGCGGCTTAGCGTTAGCCTCGTCTGTGTCCACTGACGTGCGAGCTGTCCGTGTTCTGGACCGGCGGGAGACGCGGGAGTCGACATGTTGAACGTGGAGTCGCTGCAAGTTGCCGAGGAGGAGGTGGTGGAGTCCAGCTCCAACAAACTCGGGGACATTTACACTTTCGTGGCCAAAGGCTGCTTCCCTCAGACGATGACTCCCATCCGGAAGAAGAACCTCAAAAGATACGCACAGAAATTTGTCATTGACGGTAAGGGTTGTGGCGGAGGAGCTCGTCTTTTCACATCGCCGGACCTCCATGCAGAAAACCTTCAAAAATGAAAACCACCCAGATAGTGTGGACGTGGGAATCATCCAGGACATGTCGTAATATGTGTCGTGAACCTGTAGGAGACTTGGGTTAATTCGGCCGACTCACTCAGTGTCCAACTAAAACCAGCATCTACACCAGGCTCATTTTAACTTGCACAACTGGCTCTCGATGCTTGCTGAGTGTTTGTGTTTGGACCATAATGTTCAAACTACCTTTTAAAAGTTCGCATTTTCTGCAGATCGGTGGTGTAGTGTGGATGCTGAACTGCTCAGTGGACATCAGCTGGTCTTTGCAAGTTCACTTCTATGTTTAAATCAGATGAGCAAGACATCTTTAAATACAAACATGTTTGAAAGAAGTGTGGCGTAATGTCCTCTCTGTACACCGGATGTGTTGCGTATCTGTGTTTGGCAGTGAAGACCCCTGCAAAGTCTTATCGATCAATGTCCAGAGTCTAACTCGTCCTCCCTTCATGTCTCCATCCAAGAGGGCAAGCTCTACTATGTGGGACCCAAGAAAGAAGAGAAGAGGGAGGTGGTGATTGAGGCAGAGAGGAAGAGGCAGATTTTCCTCGACTGCCACTTCAACGACATCGGCCATCACCTTGGCCAGAAGAAGACCGTCCACCGGATCCAGAGCAAGTACTACTGGCTGGGCATCATCAAGGATGTGGTGGACTGGGTACGTAAATCTTTATGAGACTCACTAAGCACCGTCCTGATAAGAATGGCCTCTACACTAACGGTATTCTGCCTGTTTCAGATTAAAGTGTGTGACACCTGTCAGCACACGGAGAGGAATAAAAACCTGGCACGGACTGTTCGGCCAATCAAAGTGGACGCACCGTGGGAAATTGTTGGGATTGACATTTTAGGTTTTTAACTCAATTAAATGGTCAAATAACATTTTCAAACTTCTCTTTTAATTTCTCTCCACATTTTGATGCCTGTGTCTCTCTTCTCTCATCAGGACCTTTCCCTGAGACCCAGCAAGGCAACACCAACATTATAGTCCTCATCGATTACCTTAGCAAATGGCCAGAAGCGTTTCCAGTAAAAAAGACGGACGTGTTCTCTGTTGCAAGATGCATCTCTAACTGTATATACAGGTAAAAACAGCCAACAAGATCTAGAACAGCCACTGATGTTGAAACAAGGGGTTGATATAAATAATATGATAAAATCTGATTATGCTGATATATTTAGATTTAAACCTGCTAATATGTCTTATATTGGGCTGTAAATCTAAATCTAAGTCCAACCCTCAAAATGAAAATATATTGTAACCTGAAAAATGTTTAAGATATCTGTTTGTTTTGTGTAATGCTAATGCACTTGGCCTATTCCCCTTTTTCCCGTTTTATATTTTAAAAAATTAGGAAAAAAGAAAAAGAGAAGACGCACTCAAAAAAGAAAGAAAAATCAAAAGTAATTCCAAATGCTTACTACTGCTTACTGCTTCCCTCTTTCTCTAGATAACTGGCTAATTAAAAAAATTCATACGTAAACAGCCAACTCAATCTTCACACGTCGCCCATATTACATTTATTATACAAGATCCATATCTGTTTTTATCTGACAAAACTGAGCATTATGCAGTTCACAATAACCACAAATACTGTTCTCTTTTCAACCAGGTTCGGTGCCCCTAAAACTATAGTGTGCACGCAGAACTTTGACTTCTGTGATGAGGTGAGATGTGAGTCACAGACTTAACATAAGAAATATGAACTGATAACAGGTTGTAGCAGTGTTGTTGGTCAGTTTTGCCAGTGCACATGTAGTACAGCTGTTTCTTTCCCCTCCAGGTGACTAAGCTGCTGTGCGACAGATGGAGCATCGTGCAGAAGATTTCTCCTTTGGATCAACCTCAGCTCAACCCGCTCCATGACTGCACGAGTGTGTTACTGAAGGAAGCTGTTGTGCAGATGGTAACAGAGAAGCAGGGCGAGTGGGACGACTTCCTAGACCCTGTGCTGTTTTTGTTCCGGACGTCCACCAACCCCACGACCAAGTTCACCCCGTACTCGCTCATGTTCAACAGGAAAGCAAATTTACCTAATGAGGTGAGAGAGCGAAAGATCCCCTTCTAACTTTGTTTTGGTGTCTGTTTATTTAATGTAATTTCCTCTCCTCCAGACGACACTAAGCCTGGTGAATTATGACGATCTTGAGCAGGATATGTATTCCTCAAAGGAGAAGGCCTCTACATTTATGACAATAATGCAGGAGCAGCAGAACTCTGTCAAGCAGCTGGTAAGTGACAGTTTTACCATTCACTACTACACCTGTGTGTGTACAAGTAAACTCAACAACACATGACCAGATGTAGGAATACCTGGAGGGGGAAAGTCAACAAAACTTCCTTTCAAAAAACACATTTTCTCTGCAGATAAGATTGTCCTTTATTTGTCCTACTATGGAGAAATTTACCATGATACAGCAGCTATAGAGGTAATCGTGAAATACACAGTAAAGTTAA